TGCTGGAAGAGCCATGTCTTGAGGGCGCGACGGAAAGCAAGAAGATCCGGAATCATCCGGATCTCGGGGGGTAGTTCGTTCCAGAGGGTAGGGGCACCCACAGAGAAGGCCCTCCCCCTGGGGGTCGCCAGCCGACATTGCTTGGCCGACGGCACCCTGAGGAGGCCCACTCTGTGGGAGCGTACCGGTCTGAGGGAGGAGATCTGCGGCAGAAGGCGGTCTCGGAGATAACCGGGTCCTATGCCATGAAGCGCTTTAAAGGTGGTAGATGTTTCCAAGACACGTAAGCTTTAACTTTCCTACTTTGGCTGCACTGTTATCCAATATGAGTACTATATACAGTATGTAAAACTGAAGATAAACTGTTTTAAAACCAACAACGTGGATGAAAAACACCAGGAAGCTAATTTACTCATTGCTTTTTGACATTAAAAGGGGTACTTAATTATTCAAAAAGACATTGCACTCAGTTCTCTGTAAAGTACGATGCACATACCTTCCCACTCCAATCCTAGGACCATGGAGGGCAACTGAACAACTTATTGATACATTAGATACCAAGCAATATATCCTTTACTGTAGGAGGTGACCAGGCTGAGCCTGAGGGAGGGGTCAAATGTGTCATCAATCATGAGTCCCTTCCCGCCCACAGGAGATCTAAGTCCAGCCCACCTTGAATTCCTTTCTATTTTTAACTCCCACTAATTTCCCTTGACCGTTAGTAGTTCAAATTCTTGTAGAAAGCTTAAGCTTACAATAAATCTTTATACACATTTGAACTTTCTGGCTCTCCTGATTTCCCCCCAGCTTGATATTTACTTAGCTACTAGACAAGAATAGTAATCCTGTACTGATGTTTCTTCTTGTAAGGTTATCTCATTAAATCTTACATGGAGAACAACATATATGGCAACATATCACCTCAATTCCTTCCCAAGGCCACATTTTTTCCTTTTTTTTCTAGCCAAAGCATTACATACTTGCCCAGAGGTTAACTGTGCTGCTGGGAATTATAGTCCCATCACAGTTTTGATGGGGGCTAACAAGAATCTAAAAGAACCTAACCGGTTTTCTTAGCCGGAGTTAGTGGTTTTTACCATGCACGATGACATCTATGCTCTCCTTCAAGTTCTGCTCCCCACTGCTAGCCTTGCATGTGTATTTTCCCAGGTCCTGTTGGCTCACATTTTGGATGATCAAGATGCTGGAGAGTTCAGTATGGGTCTGCTGGGACCGCCTCTCAGGCAGTTCTGACACTTTCCGATTCATCTGCCAGAAGAGATAGAGGGGAAGAGAAAACAGAGTTGATATTGGAAGAAATGAAATTCAGGGGCATAAAAACACAGCTTTTCTCATTACAAGATGGTTTGTATCTCTCAAAGGTTTCACAAGATAAACTAATTAAACTAGTTGATACTATAGTTGGAAACTCGTATAAATATTACTATCTACAAAATATTTTTCCCAGGGTGTCAAGGAAAACTATGTCCTTAGATACTTGGTGAGTTTTTGAAACGTATTCTTTTAATTATGTGAAAAATTGCCCAACAGTAAGGATATGAAATTCTAGCACCTATTCTGTAAACTCCCCTATATAACAAGTAGTCAAGAGGAAATAGGAATATTGAAAAAGACAATGAGACACATTTGGAGGGATGAGTGCCCAAACTTGTTAGAGGGTGCTCTTGTCTTTTTTCCTGTTCAGTCACCATCTTCTCTTGATACATGAACACCCACCCACCCATCCTGGAGTCATTTCATAGCAAGTCCAGCCATATTCCAGGTATTGGATCTTGCTCAAAGTCATTATCTAAACAGAAATCACAAGGAACATTGTAACAATGTGGATAGCATGGCTTTAGTGAAATGAGTTCTTGGCCTGACCAATAAGACATTTAACTTGTCCTCAGTTGTGGCTGTACTTTGGAACATGTATTAAATGCTACAAACCAGCAGGATTCACACTGAAAATAGTAGAAGTAGATGAAGGTGCAGTTTAATAACTCTTAAAAAAATTAACCAAGTTGTTATTGTTCTTGTTTTACCTATTTAAAAAAAACATTAGCATCAGAGGCTAAAATGATGTAGTTGGATAGCTGCACTTGGAGACAAAGCTATAGCCTATTTTAGTAAAAGATGCCCTCCTCCTGAAAGAGCAGTTCAGCCATTGGGAGTGTTACTGATTTTTCAGCTCAATGGATTTGCAGGTGATGGTTATGATGAAGAGCACATTTCACAACATTATCCAAGCCTTGACTATTGTATCGTGTTCTACATGGGGCTACTCTGAAAAAGAATGTGGGAGTAGAAATTGGATGCAAAACTAGACCACCTGTGGCCCATTGAGTCTTTGTTTCAGAGATATTTCCTTGACTAAACAGAGAAACAGAAAGAGCACACACTTGGGCAAAAAAGCAATGGGAACAATAGCAACTTTCGATTTCCTGCCAGCTTCTCCATTGCATTTCTCTGTGGAAAGCTGGCAGGGAACATTGAAAACTTTTCTTTCTTTCTTTCTTTCTTTCTTTCTTTCTTTCTTTCTTTCTTTCTTTCTTTCTTTCTTTCTTTCTTTCTTTCTTTCTCTTTCTTTCTTTTTCTTTCCTTCCTTTCTTTCTTCCCTCCCTCCCTCCCTCCCTCCCTCCCCTATAGACCACAGATGTCAAACTCGATCGTGTGACATGACATATCGTGACATATCGCAATGTTTTTTGCCTTTGCAGAGCCAGGGTGGGTGTGGCCTGCAAGTGATGCATCCAGCCCGTGGGCCACCAGTTTGACACTCCTGCACAGATCAATAACAAAAATGAGTTAGGACATATTAACTATAGAGGCTAAAAAGGAAAGAAAAGCAAATGTTAATTCATACCTGTTTTGCAGGGTAATCCCACTGGAAATCAACTCCTGAATTAAATTCAGCCCATACTGTGCAGTTGATAACTAGTTTTTCTCCCACCAATAGCTCCATGGCCTTCCTTGGAAACAGCTGAATGTCATAAAGCTCATTCCCTGGTAGAAAATGTAGTTAGGAAAAAGACAACTATTTAAACAAATAGAGTTCAACTTTTCCTTACGAAACAGAATTTTTGCTTTAAGTGACTAAAATGTCACTATGTAAGGCAAAATCACACATTGTAGATTCACTGGCATTCTAGGCCCGCTTACTTACATTTGATAAATTCTTTGCCATTAAACTGTGTTCTCATGCAATTCTTGGAATGAATGTTTAAATTCTTGCCTAAAAACAATAATCTCTTTCTTATATAATTATCATCATCCTACAATTGTCCAAAAGTTGTAGTGGCCAAAACCAAAGAACAAATGCATTTTGGATGAGGAATATGCCTTGTAAAATATGTTGCCATGAAAAACAGTGATGAGTACCACTGCATTAAAAATAGGTATAAAATTTTATTTGCCCTAATACTTTTCTTATTTCCCTTCCATTTTAATGCTATTTTACTTTCTTCTAATTCTGCAATAATTTCTGTCAGCAATAGTTGTTTACTCCTTAAGGTATGCATGCTTTTTGTGTGTATAATGTATAAGTCTCTACATTAGTACAACTGTATTGTTGTAGCAATATGCAAAAGTTAAAAAAATATGTGCTGTTATGGAAAAGTGATAGATTAATGGTTGGGATAAGATGAGATGCTTTTTGGGAAGAGCATATATTGGAGAGAGAGGTGAGAGAGAGAGAATGAGAGAGAGAGACTGAAAATTACAAATGCTCATTTGAGAAATAGGAAAAGAGGACAAAGAGTTAAGAGAAAGTGAGGTGTGAAGTTATATGTGCATTACCTCCTTAAAGAACATTCTGGGATAGAGATATATAGAGAAGTAATGGAGGTGGGGTGAAATTAAGAGTGTGAAGGTGTCAGTGTCTATGTTTACAAGCATGCATTTCACCATTGAGCACTGTTACCCCAATCTTTATCTGGAAACAGATATATTTGGAGTTCTTTGTTGTTCTTCAGCATGAGAGAGAAGTATGTCTGCCCCAGAGGTTCTGGTGATCAAGTTCTGGACTGGGATTAGTATTCATGCCCAATGTTCCTTCTCTGAATCAATGACTTAGCCACTGCTTAAACCACGGTTATAACAACATGCCTTAAAGAACTTCTTTAAGGCACCTTATTAGTTGCAATTTTATATACCAGTTGCAAAACAAACCGTTCCAAAACTCACCTGCAATGTGGACAATGAAGAAACTAGATTTGAAAGGTTTCTTATCAATGAGAGTTTCACACTGAACAAACCAGGAATCCTTGATCAGGATAGTGGGGACCAGCATTCCTCGTTTATTGTCCCAGAGAATGTTCTTTCCATCGGGATAGATGACAGAAGTTGTCTAGAAGGAACATTTTGGAAACTCTGGTCAGAAATGCAGGGACAATTTCCACAACTTCACCAAATGGCCGCTGCAGCCAGTTCCTGTTTTAGGGTTTGTCTTGTTGATGAAATAAAGCATCATTTGTAGTTTCTCCCTTTGTGAATTCTATCTACAGTAACTCTAACGAATCATTTATCAAGCAATTATCTCAATGAACCGGAATGGCTTACAGCGGGGATCCCCAACCCCCGGTCTGTGGACCGGTACCAGGCCGCGGCATGCCAGCAACTGGACCGCACAAACAAGCAAAGCCCCATCTGCGGGATGCAGGCAGCACACAAAACCACGCACCTTCCGGTCTGCGGAAAAACCTCTCTCCACGTAACCAGTCCCTGGTGCCCAAAAGGTTGGGGACCTCTGGCTTAGAGAACAAAGCATTTTTTTAAAAAATAAAAAAGAGGAAAAGTGAAATATTTAGTGTGATCTAAATATTATCAGCAGATAGCAGCAATTCCTGAGCAGGAGACTAAAAATGAAAGCACTACATGGGTTGTGAACTCATATCCTTGGCTGCGGGCCGACTATCATTTAATATATTTGCCAATGAAAATTGGCTAAGAGCAAACCTGAGTTTGGTTTTTGAGTTATAAGAAATAAGAAGGTCAAGGGTTGTAAGAAATGGTCCTTATAACCTTCTCAAAAACACTGCAATTTCTAAAAACTGCCCTTCTTGCATTGCTGTGTCAGGCACTGTAGCCCCTTCCCCCCCCCCCAAAAAAAAAACAATACTAATGAAATATTTTTCTTGCTTCCAGAAATTTCTTCTCTTTTACTAAAAACCTCTGTGTTGTGGTTTTAGGCTTCTCCAGGAAGATCATTAACATAGTAACGTAATCCACAGAAAATCCAAAGACAGCAATGCAAAAGCAAACTAAGACCAAAAGAAAAAGAAAAATACGGTATCTGGGGCAGAAATTTTTAAAGGTCATAGTTTTAGCAGACTCTAGAACTTTTCAAAGGTCATCATTTTAGCAGGTTTGCTTCCCCACCTCTATTTATCTCAAAGAGTATTTTTTTCAACTTCTGTCTGTGCCGGAAAGCCTGCCAATAAGGTAGGATCCTGAATCTTTCTGAAAAAAACAAAACAAAACATTGCTTACCAACAGCAAAGTGATGTTAAGATCTGGAACAGATACCAGGCATGGAACACAGATATTTTCCTTCTTGTAGATAAGAAGAGTCTCCGGTTTATTAATGAAAGGCTGGTCAAAATCTGAGAAGAGGAGAAAATGTGGAGGGTGAAGAGAATTGCAGCAGAAAACAAAGAAAATGTGATGAGTTTCTAGAAACTGTTTTGGTTTGTTAACTAATTGCTATGAAGAATGATACCAAACTTGGAAAAAATAAAAGGAAAAAAAAGTAAATGCATAAGCACTTTTATAAAACATGATCCAAACTGTGGATTAAGAGTGTTTAGATTTTATTCATATTTATGTTTGTGTGAGGCTCAGTATAATCTTACATTCTATGTCTGTAAATACTGTATAAGGTTTAGGCTAGGTTAGGTTAGATTAGTCATATCTTCATTGTACCTTCTCACATTTCATAGCCAAAGCACTTAAAAATCAAGTGAGATTGTAATAGATTTCTCTATAGGCAACCTTGCTTGGACCAAAACAAACTATTTTAATTCATATGGGTTATGCTAATGCTTAGAGCTTGAATTAAAAACTCCAACCCCAATGTTTATGGTATACAATTTTCAGATGGTTCTCACAAACATACCATCTCATGTGTCATCATCTTGGACTCAAGATTTATTTATAATTTGGATTATGTGTTTGTACTTATTTTGAATTAAATCGTGTCTTTTCTACTATTACCTTGGTTAGTACTAATAAACAAAAATCATGCTCCTCGAGGTGAGGCTGGCTCCAACCTTGTTAGCCTTCTGGAAGATAGTCAAAACATAGTTTTGCCAATGAATTTGGGAATCCAATGTTTGAGTGAAGCCTTTAGATGGCTATATGATAGTTCAGAGGTCACCAACCTTTCTTGGTTGGCGGACCGGAGGGAAAGGGAGGGGGAAGCATTTACATGTGTGCATGCTTGGGATGCAAATGGGGTGGGGCTAGCGCCCATGTGATACTAACCCTGCCCTGTTCTTGCACAGCGCAGCGCCCCATTTTCGCGCCCCACATCGCAGCGGCATCCTGTTTTCACACCCCAAGGCGCATCATTGTCCCATTTTTGCGCCCCGCAGCACCCCGTGTTTGCGCCCCGCAGCGCAGTGGCCTCCTGTTTTTGTGCAGCGCAGTGGCATCTCATTTTTGCACTCTGCGGCCACAGTGCTACTACGAGTGGGGGTGAGTGCACGCACATGTGCACGCACTGGCCAGCCTGTCCTGTGGCCTGGTGGCCAGTAGGCCATGGCCCACTACTGGGCCGCGGCCCACAGGTTGGAGATCCCTGTGATAGTTAACCAGATGCACTCTTGTATGATTTCTTGACATGCTGTATCTTTTGTAGTTTTTACCTTGTTTTTATTATTAATTGAACTTGTGTTTTTAATATTTTTTATGTACTTTATTAGGTATTTTCCCCCGGAGTCACTATGTAAAATGGATACCTATACAAGTGTAGATACATAGATAAATGGTAAAATCCATACTGTGCCCAGTTAAAACAACTATACAATAGAAAAATCAGGCATTTCTAAATGAAGAACCTGAATGAAAATGCTTTTCTGAATGAAAAAGACTTTTCTTAACATTTCAGAGTTTTGTTAGTATTTTGCATACAAGGGTTACAGGTTAAATAATAATGCTTACTGCACAGAGTACATTTTATGCAGATATAGTAAAAAGACAAAGAAACCTGACAAATGAAAAATAGTTATTTTTTTATACATTTCTCTCTATAAAACATCACACACATGGGCCATACTTAATAAATAAGCAATCCATTCACATTTGACTTTAAAGAGTCCCTTTTATAAAAAAAAATGATGAAATATACACTGGAAATTTAAGTTTTTTATTTATTTTAAAATGGATATTTTTTCCGCTCACAACCTGAGTACATATGTTCCTACTAGTTAGTGGCTTGTTTGCAAGGAAATCTCTATAATAAATGATCCAAGCTTACCTAGAGTAATAATATTTTTTATTTATAGTCACTGACTAGTTGTATATAGCATACAAGATACAACTAAAACAACCTTGAAAATTAAAAATAACACTATAAAACATAAAATGGTAGAATCACTACTGAGAAAATGGAAAATAACATTCATCTGACAATATTATATAAATAAATTAATTTGGGCATATGAAATTTCTCCTCTGATCCCTGGACTACAAATCAGTGTGTCATTTATCGTTATTATTTTAAACCTGCAGAGATGGTATTATCAGCAAATTGAATGGTTCTTAGGGGCTGCCACAAAGAAGAGGGAATCAAGCTATTCTCCAAAGCGCCTGAAGGCAGGACAAGAAGCAACGGGTGGAAACTAATCAAAGAGAGAAGCAACCTAGAACTAAGGAGAAACTTCCTGACAGTTAGAACAATTAACCAGTGGAAAAACCTGCCTCCAGAAGCGGTGAATGCGCCAACACTGGAAGTTTTTAAGAAGAAACTGGACAGCCATTTGTCCGAAATGGTATAGGGTTTCCTGCCTGAGCAGGAGGTTGGACTAGATGACCTCCGAGGTCCCTTCCAANGTCCCTTCCAACTTTATCATTATTATTATTATTATAAAATTCGGCTATGGAATTTTTGATGTTGTTCTGACAGTCTGATATGAATGCAAACACACCTCAACCTCTGAGTCTGATTAATCTTTTCCCAGAGGCTCATATAATCTATAGAAATTGCAACACATGAATATATGACCTATGCCCAATCATTCAGAGTAGAAGCTCCACCCATCTTCAACAACAGCTCAAATGCATTCATCAAGCTGGCTAGAAAGAGCTTTCAAGGAATAGGGTGAGCGTACTCAAGACAAAATTCAATTTTGGTTGTAGTCATGAAATATTGGCCAAATGTGCCAAAACTGAACTCTAAACTCCAAACTGGAGGTCAATATCTATCACCTTCCTTGGGTGATGATCATGGGTTTAGAAGATTATAACACAGAAGAATAGTAATAATAGTAAAGAACCTGAATTAAGGAATAAAATAAAGAAAAATAACTAAGTTGTGCTTTTATAAAACTAACAAAACAAAAATGTTGTAACAGAATGGAATAAAACGATGGTTTGATTTTTATACAATTGATAAATATATTCAGAGAAATAACGATGTAGATGTATGTATGAAAGGGCTAAAATATATGTCAAAATGTCAATAAATTATCCTTGTTGCTATTGTGGTGCTTCTGTAAGTAGGACTTTACAAGCAAAGGACAGAGCATGTTAAATTCCAGTGAATACTGACAATGGAAGAACCAGAGATTACATTTGGGGAAAATTGTACAAAATTTTGAATGAATGCTATCCAGCAGGTGTGGGGGTGGGTGGGAATCAACTAAGTGACATGAATAGATGGGGTAGGAATAAGATGAGAGAGCACTGGGCTGTTTGGAGACCAAAGAATGAATGAAAATGGCTGTTTGATGAGTATCTGCTTAGAAAAAAAGTTTAATTGGAATATGCAGTAGTTTAGGCATCACTATCATGTGGAGTGTCCTTACTTTACTGCTGAATCAAATCCTTTAAGCAGAAAGAGAGAGAGAGAGAGAGAGAGAGAGAGAGAGAGAGAGAGAGAGAGAGAGAGAGAGAGAGAGAAGCATCACTGCAGTTAGTGCTTCACTCCCTCCCTCTTCCTCCTCCTCCTCCCTTTCTTACTGTGATTTTCACTGAGATCTGCCACTGTAGGAAACTGACAAAGCCCCACCTCTGAAAGACTGGAAGGGAGATGATGATGATGCCAAGGACCAACGAAGCATTGACTTCAGAATGGGTGGGTAGAATGCTGAGGAGTTAGGAAGCAAAATAAGGCAATCATGTCTACCAAAAGGAACCTGTCCAGCACACAGCTCTACGGAAAACAGTGCAAAACTATCTTCACAACATTTTCTCTGGAGCAGCTAGGTTAGAAATTAATTGGCTTAGGTAGCAAAACCCTCATAAGCATCAGAGAATTTTGGGGAATAGAGGAATAGAATGCCGATCCCAGATCAGCAGAAAAGAAACTGTCCAAGGCCTCCTTTATCCTAAACCAAGCTTCAAATTGCTCCCAAACATTCATTCTTACATTTCTTTTCCAGAAGCTCATTATATCCCTCAGCCCTCAGCTTACTCTCTGATTACACTGACAAAGAGCAAAATGGATTTACAGACTAAGAAAACAAATTTACTTCATCATCCTACAATTGCGCAAGGTCAATTTAAGGCATTCCCCTCCCCCCCCCCGCCGCCCTCATAGGCATTGCTGTACATCAGCTTCTTTGTTGCTAAATGCTCCTGACTGGAGGTTTTGGATTTTATTCCATCTCTGTGTTTTTATATAAATATTCCTCCAGGATGTATTTGAAGAGCAGCCACAGATGTTCATAGCAAAGACCAAGGGCAGATTAGATTAAGAGAGAATTAACATTTGTGAGGGGAAATTCCTGCCAAACTTCTAATGCCTCTGGCTATTGTTATTTTGAGTTTGTTATTGGAGAATGGTTTATTTTAACATACCAGCAACAGTTGCTCAGTGGGCAAACCACAGGGGCTCAGTATTAATTGGCCATATTAAATTTAGATTGGTTTCTAAATACCCAAAGTCCATGATCTAGATTAATACATAGATAATTCAAAAGCAGTAGCATTCTCCTTTTAAAAAGTGAGCTCTTGTTTTCTAAACATTGTGTTACCTCTATCCAAAGGAAGGGCGAGATGTTGGTAAGTGAGGCACATGAAAGGGATCCCAAGAGGTGCTTAAGGCTAAGGGAAAGACATTCCATCTTGTCTATGGGAAGAAGTGGTAGTTAACATTGTTTATGCCCAGAATGCTTTGGCGTGGTTCAAAATTTGAGGGCTTCAATTTCTAATACTCTATGGTGATACATTGGCAATATCTGATGTGGGTTCCAAAATTAAAGTAATCTTGAGGGAAACAGGAGGTCTAGAAACATGAAATACGAGCTGTCCTCGGTGCTGTCTGAGCTTGGTTGTTTTCTTGCAATGTTTCGTTACCCAAGCTAGGTAACATCATCAGTGCTAGTCAGTCATGATGTTACCTAGTTTGGATAATACAGTAAAACGTCTGCAAGAGAGCACCAAGGACTTCTCATTTCAACCCTGAATTACAAATATTCTCCTTTACTGGTAACATGAAATATAAACAAACAAACAAACAAACAAACAATACATTTTTCAATGTGCTTTTCTCAAATTATAATTTATGCTCAGTTGTACCTTAAAAAGATTTGCTTCCTATAGTAATAAGACTGTTCTTCTGCTGAGTCCATAGCATTGAAGGAAATGTGCTAGTTGGCCTGAGCAGCATGAGAATCAATCACATATATGTGTGACTTCAAACATGTTTTTATCACATAATATTTGGCCTTGACATAGTTCCAGTGTGGCAATTTTGCTTCCCTCCTAGATATCTAGAGTAGTATTGTTGTACAATAACAAACACATATATGTGAACGATGAGTAATGTGACCACATCTTAGCTAGGTCCACATGAATGTGACATGAATATCCTTGTTTCATCACTTAGCTATTCCAAATTGCACCAATATATTTTCTCCTCTAGAAACAATAGAAAACTAGCACATGGAAGGGGAAGCCACAGTTATAGAAGGAGGATTTCAAAGAGAGAAGTGACAGGCAGGGAAATCTTCCCTTTTTTAAAATTATGAAATAACCCATAATTCTTATAAAACAAAAACAGCATCTGAGCTTTATTACTAATTGGTTAGTAACTAATTAAAAGTAATTGGTAATGAACGAGACTTCATAGGTTACAAGAAACCTGGAGAGATAAATACATAAGACATCACATTTGTCTCTGCCTTATTATGGACTCTTGTTATGGATACACAGAGTCTTCAGATGCGTGCAGAGTTTGTACAGGACACCATAACTACATTATACATAAAATATGTATCTGGTTGTTGATGCTTATTAATGCTGCTAGTCTGGATTTGAGAATGGAGAACCCCACTGAATTATGTAACATATCGTCTCACTTGTCTGCAAGAAGTACTCAGGTTAGCAAAGGATATGGAAAGAAATTCAGTGAAATGAAAAACCTTTGGCAGACATTTTATTAAAATTAAGTAACCATGTTTGTACTTTTCATCATTAAGTTGTCACTTCTTATCATTGTATATATTCATCTGTGGTTTATTTTTCTGATGCTTTCCAACATAGGCTGACTATTTGTGCAATAACTCTTAGACAAGGATCTGCAGCAAACACAGTCCTTTTAGATAGTTTTCAAAGTTCAAGTGAATAGATATGTTGTTATTTTTAGAACTGTATTATATTTTTCATTCTATCTGAATATGAACAGTGGTAGATTGCATTATTTAACCATATTTGATCAAACTAATATAGAGCATATATGAAAATAATTCTTTCTTCATGTCAAATAAACTATGTGTTTTAGAGAACAATTATAAAAATACAGATATGTTTTCCCACTAATCCTATTATTATCTATTATATTACCAAGAAAGTTATTACAAGTTTACATACTGAGTTACATATTTCAGTTAAAGAGGTCTTGATCTGAAAGAGCTGTAGTGCACATTCTTTCTTAATTTTAAACTTTGATACTATTTGAGTGATACCTAGTTCATTGGGCATGTTAATTTCTTTAAACATGGATAAATTACAACATACTGGAAATCTTGAAACATCTATCATAAATTACTATTATTCAAAGCAATGTGTAAGAGAGGGGGGGACAGAATCTTTCTTTAACATATCTAGCAATGCATTATTTCATCTCTTTTTGTTTCCATTTTTATCAAAACAACTTATTACTCTATATCCCAAACAATGTGTTTAATTTAGTAGTCGGTAAGCTGGGCCACTACTGTATTTCTAGGGCATCATAGAAGCAAAAGCTCCTGAATTCCAGGACAACAGAAACATCAACCCCAGGCACCAATGTAATTCAATCCCCCAGACAGGCTACGGCTACAACAATACCATACAAGAGGATGGATACTGATTTGTTTTTAAAGCCTTGCCCTCCCTCTTTACTCCACCAAATTTAACTAGTTGTACGCAGATGACAGAGGGATGTGGCACATAAATATTTAGAATGCACAGAGGAGGAGTGTAGTTCTACATAGGAGCTATGAGGAATGGAAAACTCTGTTCTCTTGCAAACTGGGATTGTGGGCAACAGCTCATCTTTTTTCAAATACTGCTTACAAAAATTTCAGAACAATCAACAGCTATTTTGTGTTTTCGCAATCAACTGCCATGGTTTCTTTTGTTGAAAGTATAGTTAGGCAGAAAGGACTCTACAAACACAAATTACAGGATCTGATGATGGGCTGTATCAGGACCAATAATTGATTATCTCTTGTGTTTTTAAGCCATCCAGCAAGTGAAGTTCTCTGTAGAGTGCACAATCAAATTGAGATATGACAAAGCTGTGACATTCTGATTAAGTGGTTCTTGGGTCAGAAAAATGTTGTATTGAAGGGGGGGGCACTCCCTCAATTCCCCTTGGTCAGTGGGGGCAGATGTGTTCTTCTACAAGCTTTGGTTGATCAACCAGGTGGGGCCATTTGTAGATAAAATTAGTTAAGTACTACAATTTCTTCTTTGGTAATTTCCTCTTGGGGGAATCTAAATGTGGCATAGTGGGTACAAAGTGGGATTAGTAGCAGGGAAATTGAGCTTTAAGTTCTCATTCAACCATAGAAACTCAGTGGGTGATTTGGGGTCAGTCAGCCTATTTCACAAGAATTATTTTCCATGTGGAAAAAACTGGAAGATGGAACAAAATGTATGTCATCTTAGTACCTACAGAAAAAAGTGGGATCTAAATTCATGAAATAAGGTATTTTTCATTAAGCTTTCCTTGAAGACTATCTTAAAAACTCTAATTAGCAAAAACCTTACTGACAGAATTTTAACCACTGGGCTTGATGTTTCATATAATTCCAATATTAAAATAGTGCACTATGGTAGTTGCCAGTTTGTTTTCAGGCTTTTTCAGTATGTTTCATATCTCATAAGTATACAACAGGGTATCTCAAAAGGCTACACCCAAAGTGCTTTCCTTATCCTAAGTGCCTTTCTTATCAGACTTAATTACATTAATTAATGACTACATATTACAAATTATTCCTGAGCTGTGGAATGCCCTTCCTAAAGAGATATGCCTGGCTTTTAATTTATTTTTTTGAAACATTCAAGATATATTTTTTTCACCTGGGCATGTGTATGTATAAAACAACTCAGGAGATCTTCATAACTGAAGTTTAACAGAGAAGTTATTCATTATATTTTGTCATCACTATTAGACATTAGTTTTATTGTATTACATTAACTTTCCCAATCACTTATTATATATGTTATACATTGCCCATGAATCTGTTTGAAGAAAATTGTTACTACAACTGAATAAAATGAAAATATATCAATGGAGGAATCCAATTATCTAGTCTGACTGCATAATCAGCATGGAGGTTCTGAGCTCCCCTCTTGAACCCTATGAGGATTTCCCTGCAACACAACAGCCCTTACTTTCAAGTCACTATTCATATATTGCAGGGGTCCCCAACCCCCGGTCTGTGGATCGAAGCAGTCCACGGCATGCCAGAAACTGGACCACGCAAGCAAGCAAAACCGAACCCACAGGATGCAAATAGCACACGAAACCACACCTCCTCTGGTCCCCGGAAAAACCTCTTTCCACAGAACCGGTCCCCGATGCCCAAAAGGTTAGAGGCTGCTGATATATTGGCTCTGGGGTTGTGCAAATACTGCTATTCCTTCTGGTGTAGTGCATGCAGCTGTTGTGTGTTTTTTAAAAAAATACTTTCTACTTACAAAAGCGACAAAGAAACAAGCTGGCACAGGAATCTGGCGGCAGTGTTGCTAGTTAACAAGTACAATGACAGACAAATTTCAGGATTCTGATAAATTTTCCCATGACAATTTCTACCTTGCATTGCTCAGACTGATGCTGTATCCCCATTTCAAAAGGCGTGATCATCTCTTTTTTCCTAATAAAAATTTAAAGTGCAAGTAAGTTTCCCTTCATCAATCTACTTTTTGAATAGTGAATTCCCATCATGTTGTAAAAAACTTTATTGCAGCTTTTGGCCAAGGAATATGTCCACTTAGGAATTTAATCTGCATGGGTGGGCTGAGCAAGTTTTTTCCCTTCTTACCTCTCACAAACACGTAGGTGCTGACAGCAGTGGTGCCTTCTATTTTGGCATTGATGTACTTGTAGTAACAGCGGTAGTAACCTGTATCATTGGCCTGAGTCCCAGTCAGTGTCAAGACTTTGCAATAGGGCTTTGCATCAGCGCCCTCACAATCTTCTTCCTTGACTGTTCGGATGTCGTTGACACTCACTACCACTGAGTCACTCTCCTTTCCCGTTTGGACAGTGTCTTCTTGAATGCCAGGCCACAACCATTCCAAAGGATGTTGTCCTCTTTATTTGGCCAAGAGAAGAGAATGAGAGTTAGATGGATTACCACGTTCCTCTCTAGGACAAATCTTGTGTTCTAATATTTTCCCCTCCCATTCTTTCTGCCAGAAAAGTCACACTGGAAAGTTTTCTAAACTGTAATAACCGCCTTGATGCTTTTTACATTTTCCTGTTGGAAAGAGGAGAATAGAACTACAATTTGCAGAATATACAGGAAAGAAGAGATGATAGATGGATGGATGGATGGATGGATGGATGGATGGAAGGAAGGAAGGAAGGAAGGAAGGAAGGAAGGAAGGAAGGAAGGAAGGAAGGAAGGAATCCATCCATCCATCCAGTCAAGTCTCTGCAGGAGCTGTGGGGGCAAAATGGTTAGTATTGCAGGCTGACTCTGGCCATAGCCAGCAGTTCGATCCTGACAGGCTCAAGATTGACTCAGCCTTTCATCCTTCCAAGGTTGGTAAAATGAGGACCGAATTGTTGGGTGCAGTATGTTGGCTCTGTAAACCAGTATTGTTAAAGAGTACTGTTGCTATTGTATAGAGCAGGGGTAGTCAACCTTGGCTCTTTTATGACTCGTGGACTTCAACTCCCAGAATTCCTGAGCCAGCATGGCTCAGCATGTAAACCTCTCCCTTTCTCCTCAGCATGGCTGGCTCAGGAATTCTGGGAGTTGAAGTCCACCAGTCATAAAACAGCCAAGGTTGACTACCCCTGGTATAGAGACTATGCATGCCAGTTGGACCAAGCAGCAAGGAACTAAGGCAGACATAAGTGGTGGTAGTAAAAGAGTCAAGAAAACTAGATCTCTACCAATACTAGCTTTCCATTTGTGAGGTGAGGTTTTTTTTTTTTTGCTAATCAGATTCCCCCATGTGTCATGTATCAGGCTTCAAAACACTGTGATACTTTAATTCAAGCATTGAGAGATTCCTTCCATATGTCTCTAAATTCTACAGCAGCTTTCCCCTACCTAGTGTCCTTTGAAGCATAAGTCTCAAAATTTTTAGCCAGCATGGTCAAAGTTATATTGAACAATACACATGGAGGATATCCAAAACTGTAAGATACTGCAGTGCTTTGCAGACTTATCCATAGTTCAGCACAGGGCTTTTTTTGTCATAGAACGCCCAGAACGGAGTTCCGGCACCTTTTTTGGATGGAACCTTGTAGAGTAGGCAAGGCGGGTTGTATGACGTGTGTGAGTTCTGGCACCTTTTTTTTTTTTTACATAAAAAGCACTGGTTCAGCACACACATTACAAACTTTATAGGCCTATTTTCTAGTTGCCAGCTAGAACAAAAATTGCAATTACAGTAGGTATCCAGGGGATGATCCTTAGGAAGGGAGGGAGGGAGGGAGAGAGAGAGCAGTTAAAGGCTCCTTGCTTTTTAATTTTGAATACTGACAATTGATCAGTTTTTTATAAGCCAGAGTTGTCCCAAACTTTCATGCTACTAATAATATTTGGTTGCTGTCTATCCATGAGAAGTTGGGAGAGGAGACTGGCCAATTTTTTTCTTCTCTGTAATGACAGCCACAAGCTGCCACTGCTGTAATATTATCAAATTGTAGATAGCAGTAACTTGCACCTCTTTTGGAATATTTGCTGATTTGACTGACACATGAAGTTGCGTAAAACAAGAGATGGGTAGCACCAGTTTCTTACACATTTCTGCTCTCTGTTTCCATAAGATAATTACATGGAACTTTGATACTGAAAGATATTTTCATAAATACTTTTACCCAGCTTTAGAATATCATGAAATTATCTTCATCTGAAAAGCTTTGAGGATTCAAGCCGTATTTGCATGGTATTAGAATATTTTAATAAATAAAACCCTATTTTTCACTATTTTTTGTCAACCAAATGCCGAACCAGGATCAACAAGAAATATATTGGTGCCTCTGTTTATGTCTCCTGGCAATCAACAGTGACACCATTTTAATTTATCATGTTGCATAACCCAGGCTCTATCGTTAACTTATGTAGATCATGCAAACATGGAAAAATGTTTTAATTAAACAAACCATGGTACATATCTATGGAGATTCTCAGTCATCCAAGTCATAGTTGTCCCATTTGGGAAAACCATGCTTCAGTTTATGATGGATAAAAATATCATGTAAGACCAGCTACTGAAAGGCTGTTTCATTTCTAGAGGCAGTCTGTGCTGCTCATAATAGTTGATGGATTACTTCTTCATAAGTCCTCCTTTAATATAATTGAAGTTAAGGTCCATCACTATGTCTTATGCCAGAGAGCAATACAGTGAGCCAGATGCAATTACCAAAGTCTTTGTTGTACCATTTAAATAATTGCAACTGCAATTTTAAAATTAATTGATTGATTTTATTTCAATACTTATAGGTGAAATCAGAGCACAGAAAAGAATTCTGTGCCATTATGGCGCAACGATTTTTTTAATGCGGTAGTATAATCAATGGACAGAATTAACAGAGTTGGAAGGGATCTTGGAGGTCTTCTAGTTATACCGTTCTAGAATGTTTTGGGAGTAAAGAGATGTTTATATGTGGCACTTCACAAAGCTCCAGTATGCGCTGCACAAAAATTTCAGGCTGGGGATACAAAAAATAGATGATTCTTCTGTAAGTGTTTAGAGAATAGGGGATCTGAACTTTGTAGGAGGCAAGACCTAATGGGCATAAATAATATTGCAAAATTCTTTCCCAGCAAATTTATAGTTTGGAAGCACAACGTAATCGTATTTTAATTTTGTCTTGATCTGAGCATATCAGGNAAGGAAGGAAGGAAGGAAGGAAGGAAGGAAGGAAGGAAGGAAGGAAGGAAGGAAGGAGTCCATCCAGTCAAGTCTCTGCAGGAGCTGTGGGGGCAAAATGGTTAGTATTGCAGGCTGACTCTGGCCATAGCCAGCAGTTCGATCCTGACAGGCTCAAGATTGACTCAGCCTTTCATCCTTCCAAGGTTGGTAAAATGAGGACCGAATTGTTGGGTGCAGTATGTTGGCTCTGTAAACCAGTATCGTTAAAGAGTACTGTTGCTATTGTATAGAGCAGGGGTAGTCAACCTTGGCTCTTTTATGACTCGTGGACTTCAATTCCCAGAATTCTTGAGCCAGCATGGCTCAGCATGGAAGCCTCTCCCTTTCTCCTCAGCATGGCTGGCTCAGGAGTTCTGTGAGTTGAAGTCCACGAGTCATAAAAGAGCCAAGGTTGACTACCCCTGGTATAGAGACTATGCATGCCAGTTGGACCAAGCAGCAAGGAACTAAGGCAGACATAAGTGGTGGTAGTAAAAGAGTCAAGAAAGCTAGATCTCTACCAATACTAGCTTTCCATTTGTGAGGTGGTTTTTTTTGTTTTTGTTTTGCTAATCAGATTCCCCCATGTGTCATGTATCAGGCTTCAAAATACTGTGATACTTTAATTCAAGCATTGAGAGATTCATCCATCTCTCTCTAAATTCTACAGCAGCTTTCCCCTACCTAGTGTCCTTTGAAGCATAAGTCTCAAAATTTTTAGCCAGCATGGTCAAAGTTATATTGAACAATACACATGGAGGATATCCAAAACTGTAAGATACTGCAGTGCTTTGCAGACTTATCCATAGTTCAGCACAGGGCTTTTTTTGTCATAGAACGTTCAGAACGGAGTTCCGGCACCTTTTTTGGATGGAACCTTGTAGGGTAGGCAAGGCAGGTTGTGTGACGTGTGCGAGTTCTGGCACCTTTTTTTTTTTACATAAAAAGCACTGGTTCAGCACACACATTACAAACTTTATAGGCCTATTTCCTAGTTGCCAGCTAGAACAAAAATTGCAATTACAGTAGGTATCCAGAGAGAGCAGTTAAAGGCTCCTTGCTTTTTAATTTTGAATACTGACAATTGCTCAGTTTTTTTATAAGCCAGAGTTGTCCCAAACTTTCATGCTTCTAATAATATTTGGTTGCTGTCTATCCATGAGAAGTTGGGAGAGGAGACTGGCCAATTTTTTTCTTCTCTGTAATGACAGCCACAAGCTGCCACTGCTGTAATATTATCAAATTGTAGATAGCAGTAACTTGCACCTCTTTTGGAATATTTGCTGATTTGACTGACACATGAAGTTGCGTAAAACAAGAGATGGGTAGCACCAGTTTCTCACACATTTCTGCTCTCAGTTTCCATAAGATAATTACAGGGAACTTTGATACTGAAAGATATTTTCATAAATACTTTTACCCAGCTTTAGAATATCATGAAATTATCTTCATCTGAAATGCTTTGAGGATTCAAGCCCTATTTGCATGGTATTAGAATATTTTAATAAATAAAACCCTATTTTTCACTATTTTTTGTCAACCAGATGCCGAACCAGGATCAACAAGAAATATATTGGTGCCTCTGTTTATGTCTCCTGGCAATCAACAGTGACACCATTTTAATGTATCATGTTGCATAACCCAGGCTCTATCGTTAACTTATGTAGATCATGCAAACATGGAAAAATGTTTCAATTAAACAAACCATGGTACATATCTATGGAGATTCTCAGTCATCCAAGTCATAGTTGTCCCATTTGGGAAAACCATGCTTCAGTTTATGATGGATAAAAATATCATGTAAGACCAGCTACTGAAAGGCTTTTTCATTTCTAGAGGCAGTCAGTGCTGATCATAATAGTTGATGGACTACTTCTTCATAAGTCCTCCTTTAATATAATTGAAGTTAAGGTCCATCACTATGCCTTATGCCAGAGAGCAATACAGTGAGCCAGATGCAATTACCAAAGTCTTTGTTGTACCATTTAAATAATTGCAACTGCAATTTTAAAATTAATTGATTGATTTTATTTCAATGCTTATAGGTGAAATCAGAGCACAGAAAAGAATTCTGTGCCATTATGGCGCAACGATTATTTAATGCGGTAGTATAATCAATGGACAGAATTAACAGAGTTGGAAGGGATCTTGGAGGTCTTCTAGTTATACCATTCTAGAATGTTTTGGGAGTAAAGAGATGTTTATATGTGGCACTTCACAAAGCTCCAGTATGCACTGCACAAAAATTTCAGGCTGGGGATACAAAAAATAGATGATTCTTCTGTAAGTGTTTAGAGAATAGGGGATCTGAACTTTGTAGGAGGCAAGACCTAATGGGCATAAATAATATTGCAAAATTCTTTCCCAGCAAATTTATAGTTTGGAAGCACAACGTAATCGTATTTTAATTTTGTCTTGATCTGAGCATATCAGGTTATTATCTCTGGATGAACTGGATCAAAACAAAGGGAGTGGCTATGCTCTTTGGGAAGATTTAGAGAACAGATCAGTCTCTTTACTTTGGCAATAGCAACTTTTCGTATGAGATTCCAGACTGGAAATTAGAAACTTTCCTGTGTCCTCTGAGACTTTGTCATCTAAATTATTGCTTAATGCAATTTGGACTAAAATATGTTCATATAACTGTTTTCTCTTCTTTGGAGGAAACATAAAATAAAAGGCTTTACTCAGTCAGGGGATAAGAAATGTTGCTTTCCTTTTGCTGATGTCCATCCGAACTTCTTAATACAATGTAACTGCATGACCACTATTTGGTAACTAATTATGTATATACTCTGATGAACTCTGATGATTTTTAGGTTTGTCTAAAGTAGGAACTAATCAGTGTTAACACTATGCCCATACTGCACAAGAAGTCTCTTATTCAACAATTCATAATTTAAAAAAACAGAGCAAGTATGTATGTAGTTCTTGCTAATAAACAAGTCATGACTATGCTGACAAACACTTAAATTCAGATATAGTATATATTAGATGTCTTGACATGGCGAAAATCTGGCAGGTCAGTGTGCTATTCACATTAATAATCCAGGTTTTCTCAAGTGGAAGGCCAATCCATATATCTTTATTATAGGACGCTATAGTGAACTATAAAATGTTATTCTTTGTTTTACTCAAAGTGCCAAATTTCGTCTGAAACATGAATACATGTATTCCCTCCCTCTCTCCTACATATGTAACTTTCCCTGTTATTCTATCATTATGCTTTGAATCTAGGCAGTGTTCAAAAAGAGTTACTTGTGTGGATATTTCAGTAAAATTAACACTGTCTATATCTCCTTGCAGCCTCAGTTTTGCAGCCAGATATGGCAGTCCAACTTACAAGTCTATTTCAGGTATTCCTAACAAATCAATTTACATTCAGTCTTTTCAGCAGTGCTAAAGATAACAAGAGGTCTCTACCATTTCAAATGCCTATGAATACTCTTTGAGAGAAAAATGACCACATCACCCACAGATGAAGCCACATGAAAAACATTCTTATTTGACTCTTACCTGCAAGTAATATTTAAGGTCTCCTTAGCATTGATAATATATTCCTCTTCTGTGATGCTGAGAATGGGTGGTGTCATAGAATAGCCACTAACCAGATCTGGGGAGAGAAAGAAAAAGAAAAAGAAAAGAAATTCACGATACTATCTAAATAGATTATCCAATAATGTACTCCTTAACATTAATATTTACTGTTAGTAAATACAAATACATTACTGATACGTTAGTATCAGCTCTATCACACACGTCATGGAATGGCTTCATTTGACCAGGCCTTCTATGCCTCAGCTTCTGAGTCCAGGCAGAATAGGCCAGATGCTGCCACATATCATGAAAAACTTTTATGTTGAACTTTTATAAAATACAAGCGACATCAGGTTGACTGAATAAAACACCCACAAATTGTGCACATTCTGGATTTTTGGTTCTTTTTTTGCATACAAATATACACAGTGTAAGGGGGGATAGATATTTGTTTCAAATGACAGGCACTCAGAATATTTAATGACTAAAGAATCTTTTTATGCACAAAGATGGAAAGACACACTAATTTCCATAATGGAAGAATGGATGGTAAAGACGATGGATTATTTTAATTAAACAGAAGAATTTATCTAGTTTATCCAGTTCCTGTCTCTACCCAAAATCAAAATGAATTGCAATCTGGAAAAATAATTAAGATATTTCTGAGAAGCAAAATAAAGTGCATTTATTTATTTGGAAACTAGAATCCCATATATATATATATGGATGGCTCTAGTTTGAGCTGATACAGGCAAAAGATTTCTTTCTCCCATATTTGGGTCGACAGGGTGCATCAAAAAGCACTCAAGGTAACTCTCCTCCCCTGTCTCTTCCCTCCCTGACACAGCTGACAAAGTGAGAAAGAGCCTGTGGCCTAGAGGTTAACACAGCTCCTTAACATGCAGGCAGCCCAGGTTCGAATCTCAGAAGGGTATGTTTGGCTGATGAGAGCTAAAAAAAAAGTTTGAAATAGCTATCCCATTCTCCCTTAACATACCCCAATGGTATTAAAATCAAAGCTATTTAATTAATGTTGATCCAGTTTCTATAGATACATCATCAGTCTTATATGCCTTTTCTGATTGACCTACTCATCTCTCAACAAAGTTTTTCTTATAGTAAGTATTGGAGTATTGCAGTAATAATGACAGCAGTAGCAGCTGCTACAACAATATGAAATGGTAGGAAGGAGGCAGACACTTCCTGGATTGTTACAGTGTTGCCTAGCTATTCTTTTTTAAATCCTTTGTTCAAGGCATTTAGAATCAAGCTTGAAGTTGACTTCCCAAAAGAAACAAACCAAAACTCTGTTAACGGAGGTAGAAATACTTGAGATACATTAAAGCCAAATACTAGGACATTTGCAGATTGCTGTAGTTTAGGTACTTGATTGGTAATTTGACTAGGACTCATAGAGAGCAAATACCAGTTGAAATATTTGAGCTTAGATTGTCACAAGGGATGCCAATTTGTCTAGGGGAACTAAAGAATGATACTGTTAATAAAGCTACATGGATCCCAGTCTGTCCATTGCCTAGGGGAAGAGAGTAAGCTGCTTGCAGTGCAATATAAATGTAACAACAAATATAAATGTCACAAGAATTCCTTTTTCCTGTCTAGTTGTGCTTAATACTATTAAATTTGGAGCACAGGAAGTTGTGATGTGGAAATATCCTCAGAAGCCTATCTGATTTATAATGTGAAACAAGCATGCTATAAAAAATATTAATGTTAGTAATTTTCAGCAGATCTAGCTAGAACTTGCTAGAGCATAGGACAGACCAGTTTGATTTCCTGTGGCACAGCACTGCATACAACCAGACAAGCTGACAGCTAATATGGGCTGTTAAGCAGAAGTCTCTTTTTGATTAGACATTGATTACATCATGGGAAGATTAAAACCATTTTTCGTTCCACGTGAGAGCTTCCAATGGGTCCATCTGAAAACTATTGGTATGTTGTGAGATGAATTAACTTTTGAATTAAATACATGAAGAGAATATCCAGATGATATTGTGTAATCTCCCTGCCTCCTTTGCAGAATGTTGTAAGAGAATCCAGATGTTGTCTTTATACTCTCCTGCACTTTCCCACCTTTTCTTTCATCTTTTTTCTTTCCATAAATATTCTGAGGAAAAGATGAAGCACTTGCGCAATGTATTTACCTGGAAGCAGCCTAAATCTATTGTTTCCTGTGAGCAGATGCATGGTTTATTCTTTTGATGCTCATTAAAAATGATCACAAACTTGAGCATTTAGACATTTTCAGAAAATACCTCTACTGACATATGTTAGGGAAAGCAGAAATTCTGGACAAAGAATTTTGTAACTTTCTGGACCAAACACAAAGGCTGAATCCATGGATCGAAAGACACCTAAAGCCTAACAGATGTTAATTACATCTTTCAGTATCCATCAGCACTAGCTATGCTGACTCTGGCTGCTGGAAAATGGAGTGCAATAACATCTGGAAAGCCATACTTTGCCCAAACCTATATTTATTATTTGTACTGTAATTGCAACTATAAAAGGAATACTATCACTTACTAGGAAGAGGAGGGCTACTGAATGAAATCACCAGAGAAAATCTTAAAACTAGCTTAGGCTAAGTCATTTGCTAAAGAAAGATTAAAAGATTTGACAATGTTGATTTTTTTAATATAGTGTTTAACTTGTAAACTGTTGAGAGTTGTTTCTGAGGGGATAGACTAAATAAATTAAATGCACTTCAGAATGAATTCATTTGCCAGCTATAATATTCTGTCAGTGGTTAGTATAAGGCTGTTAAATTGTTATTTTTTAAAAAATACTGAAATCATAATTGATTTCATGAAATAGACATGAATTGTATACTGATGACAGATCCTGCAACATATAGATGTACATGTACAGCATGTGCAACCATACATATGCTCATAGGTCTATGAATCTTGCAGTGGAGATTAGATTACATTAGATTATGATGACAGTAAAAAAAGAAAATCAATATGTATATTTTATTTTTTTTAAAAAACCTGCAATTTAAAAATATTTTAAAATTTCATCCTGCTTTTAAAGTTCTGCAGGATAAAAATATAGGGCGTTTTTCATTGTTAACTTCTATTTTTCATTGGTTGCATCAATAGTAAAAGCCCCACCCATGCCAAACTTCTGAAACTAGAAAAGGAAACTTTAAGCACAATAATGTTGCTCTGTTGTTTATAGAGCAAAATGTTGGCTTCTGTATTCAGAAACTGCTGAGCAAGCTGAGGGTGAACACTTCTAATCCCTTTTATGCATTTCACTAACCACATGTAAATTCCGAGAGTCCATCAAACCAGTTTTGTACACAGAAAATCCTTCCCTTAATTCCTCATTGAGATAGAAATGCAAATAAGAGAAAAAAGCTATTTCAAACTCCCAATATGAGAGAGAGAGAGAGAGAGAGAGAGAGAGAGAGAGAGAGAGGATAGCTATACAAATGAAAGGATTAAGTATCACTTTATCCCTGCAGCTATCACTTAACAAGCCTTAGAAGAAAAGAGACCAAACCTTTGGATGTCGTACAAAAATGCGTTCTTAGCAATGAAAATAAATGAAAACATTTTTTAGAAATCCCTTGAAAATATAATATTTTTAAATCAAAGTATTTCCAATTCATTCTGAATATCAACCCGCACTCCTAATATCCTGCTCTGGAGATATTTTCTTCACTTTGGGACCAATTGTGATGTCTAGAACAGAGGTCCCCAATCTTTTGGGCACCAGGGCCCGGTTCTGTGGAGAAAGGTTTTTCTGCAGACCAGAGAGTGTGTGGTTTTGTGTGCTGCCTGCCTCCCACGGATAGGACTTTGATTGTTTGTTCAGACCAATTGTGGGCATGCTGTGGCCTGGTACCGGTCCATGGACCGGAGGTTGGGGACCCCTGGTCTAGAAGACTCAGAACTTTGGGTAGTTGATTATGCCAAAGTAAATCTTAACCACGACCATTTCGGCCATTTCAGTCTTCATAAGAGACATATTGTCACAGCAATAGTTGGACAACAATATAAATTCTTAGAGTGGAAATGCATATGGAAATTTGTAAATAAATTTCAATAGGGAATGAAGCAAGGATAGTATTTATTATAGCATTAGAATTGCATCTTGCCCTTCATTCAGGACTTCAAGATACCTACGTAATACTCCATCCTTCGATTTCTCTCCACAACACTGTGATGTAAGTTGGGCTAAGAGTAATGTTACCCAGTCAGCTTCTGTGGTGAAAGGTAAACTGGAAAACATCAGTCTTCTTGTTCTGAGTATAAGCCTCTGACTTCTACTGCATCATACTGGCTGTCATGGTATCTTAATATAATAAAATATTGTGAAAAATAATTTTGTGACGACCTGTTTCCTCTTATATAAGGCTGGATAAATGTCTTCCTTCCTGCACTCATCTATACAATTGACAGGTCTGTGCCCTTCTCCATATATTTCCCAGTTTTGCTGCAATGGCTTCTGTAGTAACACTCCTTAAGAGAAGAATTAGATCAGAAAAACAATGAGACAAGTGTTCACAACTTTCTTCTAACAGAACACATTTTGGTTTTTCTACTCCTTTTAAAAAAGCTCAGAAAATGTGTTTGGAAAAGCAACTGAAAGGATCAAATGAATAAATATATATTTTCTCTTTTTTCTTAACTTAAAAGTGAGAATCATTTTTTGTTTTTGTTTCCATTTTGGAATACACCTCCCAAACCTAATAAACTATTTCCTCTTGATATCAAGCAGGTTCCATGTCCTTGATCGACTCAGCTTCAAGCATTTATAGGACTGGCTGTAAAAGCTGTTTCACCACTTCTTGCTTCCTTTAACTAAAGGCAGACCATGAAAAACAATGGATGCTGACTGAAATAAGTGTCCCTCCATTCTGTTCTGAGAGATAATGAGATAGGTTGCTACAGAGATGCTTGTCAGATACGGAACTGGGTGTGGATACAAGGAAGGATGCAAAGTAACAAAGAAATATATTTATCTCCCTCTCTCCCTCTCCCTCTTCCCTCTCTCCGCTTTTATGACCTGTTAGTCAACAACATCATGATAGCATGTGCAGGT